AGCACATCCCTTCCTTCCTATAGGAAACTAAAATTCCTTTGACAAAATTTCTAAAGAAATGGACTTTCCATCTCACTTCTATATAGTAGCTGATGGCTATAGTTCTTGAGTGCTCAGAAATTTCATTCTTAGATGCTAATTTGTTCCATCATAAATCAATTTAAGGTAGACATAGTTAACAGAGAAAACTAGTAATCCTTTCAAACATCTGTCAAGACTCTACTACCTTGTATGTGTGGCCTCCAGCTAGTCGAGCATCACTACATTATCAAGGACAGCATCATGAAGTGGAGGGGATAAGGTACCTAGCGATCAGTTAATAAAAGCTTATGGGTTTGATGCCCTCAGCAGTGTGCGTCAGGGGCCACTTGTGGGCCTAATGAATTGTGCTACATTAAACAAATCATGAAGTTTTACCAATCTTGAAAAGCAATTTTTACATAATTTATAAGAAATGAAAGCAAAGCTGTACCAAAAGGAGTGTGCTACTGACAAAACTCAAAACAGTAAGTTTTGATGAAGTTAATATACTTAAGTCTATTCCTGCGATAAAACATGGTTTGTTTCAGGTTAAAGGATACATATAATCCTGGGAGTTTTGCCAAATACAAAATAAATTTTTCTATTTGGCAAATGAATATTTTCAAAGGTTCTTTCTAAACCTTTTTCTAAACCAATTTTGCTAAGAATGTCTTCTAAGAGAGCATGGAAAAAACATACTCTGTCTTTATAGACTCTAGGGTATCAGAAAGTGGGACAAGTCATAGAGGTTTACGTAATCTCAGCATTCTTTTTTATTTATATATATTTTTTATGGCATTTTAGGTTTTGGGGTACATGTGAAGAACATGCAAGATTGTTACATAGATACACACATGGCAGTGTGATTTGCTGCCTTCCTCCCCTTCACCTGTATCTGGCATTTCTCCCCATGCTATCTCTCCCCAACTCCCCACCCCCAACCGTCCCTCCCCTATTTCCCCCCAACGGACCCCAGTGTGTGATGCTTCCCTCCCTGCGTCTATGTGTTCTCATTGTTCAACACCCGCCTATGAGTGAGAACACGCAGTGTTTGATTTTCTGTTCTTGTGTTAGTTTGCTGAGAATGATGGGAGAAGAGGAATGGGGAGTGACTGATTAAAAGTTATGTTGTGATGAACTGTTTTGGAACTATATAGAGGTGAGGTGGTAGTTACATAACATTGTGAATGTACTAAATGTCACAGAATTATACTACTTTACATGCCTTATTAATCTGTATTTCATCTGAATTACTAAAAATTATTAAAACCTCGCCTTTATATTATGCCCTGGAAGGCCCCACACGAGCCAACCTCTGCCTCTCTTTACCTTATTTTGTATTCCTTTCCCCCTTGTTGCGTATGTCTCAAGCATTACTTGAGCAATCTTATTTTTTTCTGAGTCTTTGGTTTTGAGATTCCATTTTCCTGGGAACTCTTGCTGTTCTTCAGGTCTCCATTTAAGTGGTAATTCTTTAGAGAGCACTTCCCTCACCATCCAATTAATGTTACTGTTTCTGTCTACTCTGTAGCAGTTTTTATTATCTAAAATTTCTTTATTTCTGCCTCCCCTCCACAAACTCCAGTCCTGTAAATTCTATGGGGGTAGGAATTTTATATGTCTTATTCATCACAATTTACAGAACCTAAAAGAGTGTCTGAAAAAGTAGGCTTACAACAATGTAATGAACAAACTAATGAATATGGCAGTTTTAGGTAGGAATTTACTAAGTTCAAAGAGAACTAATGTGTCTCCTAAAATTTTCAAGTCCTATATGGTGTCAGCATTTTCATTGTAATTGATAGGGAAGTATTAACCAGCCATTTGAACATCTGTTACATGATATGCACTGAGCTCAGGTCTAGATACAGAAATGAGTATAAATGAACCTGTCCATGGTGTTACAGCTCTTTTAGAATATGCCTAGCAGGTTTTTCAGTTTTCACCAGAACGCCCACCTCAAAACAGAGATGAACTCCCTACTTATGTGCTTTAAAAATGAGTATATATGTGCTTTTAAAGTCATGCAGAATCATACGGATTTCCATTTCATTGAACCCTTGGAGTAATTGTATAGGCAAATCAAACGTACATAGACTTCTTCGTTAAGACAATGTATTTGTAATGGTTAGCTTTTGTTTTTCTATTTAAAATAAATGGACATGAAAAAAAAAAGGCTGAGGCGGGCAGAACACATGAGGCCCACGAGTGTGAGACCATCTTGGCCAGCATGGTGAAACTTCATCTCTATCAAAAAAATTATAGAATTAGCCAGGTGAGGTGGTGTAAACCTGTAGTCCCAGCTACTGGGGAGGTTGAGGCAGAAGAACTGCTTGAACCCGGGAGCCGAAGGTTTCAGTGAGCCGAGACGGCACCACTACACTCTAGCTTGGGCAACAGAGTGAGAACATGTCTCAAAACAACAACAACAACAACAACAACAACAACAACAACAACAACTGTATATCCCACCATCCCTGGAGAAATTTAGTTGTTACAAATTTAATTGTAAAATTGCCAAAATAGAAGTGCTGTAAAATGATGATGAAGAATGTAAAACCCTCTGTAATCTGTTGCTCAAGTGATAAATGTTTCAACACACAATTAATGTCAGATATCTTTTATATATGAAGGAGAGTGCAAACAGCTATTTTTATATTCGTGAAGGGGAGTATAAAAAGCTCTCCTTAGTATATATCATGCTATGTTGTGGTGGTTAATTTTCTTAACTGATATTTCTGACTTAAATGTGTAATTTCAATTAAAAGTGAGTATTTCCTTTGCTTGTATTTAAAATTAAGAGCCACAGCGATATTGAGTTTTTGTATAAGGCGTAACGGCAGTTGATTTTTTTCTTTTTCAGAAACAGCCTCTCTTGGAGGTAAACACTTAGAGGAATCCGCAAAGGATAGACTTAGGAGAGAAAGTATAGTACCTGGTGTTTTTGTTTGTGGGAACCTTTTCTTTTTCCAATTTCTCTGTAACGACCTTCTATGTTTTTGCTTGCCTGCCATTCTCTTACTAGGCTGGTAGTTTTTATTTTCCTCTAAATTCTTCACATCAAATAAATAAGTATTGTGTAAAAAATTCATACCAAATCTATAAGATTACTGGCAAGGAATACATAGGGGCTTCCTACTATATGTGTAACTTTTTATTACTAAAAGGTACTGAAGAAAGGCCAGGTGTGGTAGCTCACACCTGTAGTCCCAGCACTTAGGGAGGCTGAGGAGGGAGGATCCCTTGAGGCCAGGAGTTCAAAGTTACAGTAAGCTATGATAGTGCCACTGCACTCCAGCCTGGGTGACAGATTTTGTCTCTAAAACAAAAAAACAAAAACTAGTTGGTAGATGTGAGCTTTATTTTCTATATGTTTGAAATAATTTGTAATATTCACTGCATTCTCTGTCTTCTGCTTCTTCCACATAATAAATGTCCTTAGCTTTCTTGTTTCTTTGTTATCTTCTCTTTTCCTGTCCACTTGGAAGTCATCAGTTTCTTTCTCTCTGTCCTTAATTGGATTACTTTTCTTTTGGCCTTTGGGCACAGAGTCTGTTTGACCTCTGGACCCCTCTACCTGGAGAAGGAACTTTATCTTCCCTGTCCTGCTGTCCGCACCCTTAGAAACCAGTAGCCAGTTAGATTTTTGTTGTAGATAGAATTTGCTGTTTCTGAAACCCAAATACAGTTATCAGTTTAAGGTAAAAAGACAAGAGTATATATTTTTCCTGAAGCATATAAAATAATCTCAGGTAAACCACACATATGCAGGATTATGGGCCAGCTGAATTTGCTGCCAACTCCAAAGTTTGAATTTTTTCATGATTTAACTGTCAGGCTATGAAACCTAAGATGCTTATCACCAACTTGTGGCAGATACTTTAAAAATACTTTTTTATTTTTTGTGTTTACTGGCAATGTATGTTGGCTAATCTGTTAGATTAAATGGGATTTTTCCTCATGTAAAAGTTGTCAAACACAGATGTGCTTCTGTTAGCTATAAGTTCATGCTGCTTTGCTCAATAAAATTATTTCACTTCCCAACCATCTTTCTTTTTCATTCTTACTGGCTCCTTTTTTTTTTTTTTTTTTTTGGCATTTTTTTTTTTTTTTTTTTTTTTTTTTTTTTTTTCGTTTTCGGTTTTTTGGTCCTTGTTATGCTGCTGCTTTCTTGTTGCCTGGGTTCGTGCGGTCGTGTTTTTTTTTTGCTTTGTCCGGCTGATCTATTTCTGTTTTTTTTGGTTCTGCTTTCTTTCCCGGTTTCTTTTTCCTATTTTGTTCTTCTCTTTTTTCCGCTTTCTTACTGCTGTGTGTGATGCTCTCGTCTTTGTTTCCCTTTATTCTTGTTGTTCTTCATTTGGTTGTGGGTGTGAACCTTGGGTTTTTGATTTTCTGTTCTTTTGTTATTTTGTTGGTGTTGTTGTTTTTGAGTTTCGTGTATTTCCTTCTAGAGGTGCTAAACTCCTTGTTTTTGATGTCTTCTTATTATTCCCTTGTTTTTATTTGGGACATTTTCGCTGTGTAGTTTGTCCTTGTTTGGCTTTTGGGTTGGTTGCAGGTCTTTGTTTTTGTTCATAGTGGTTTGGTTTTCGTTTTTGTGCTTTTGTCCTTTTCGTCGTCCTGTTTATTCTTTTTTTTTTCTATTTTTATTTGTGGGGTTGGTGGGTTAATTTTCATTTCTCTTTCTTGGTCTTTGATGTGTCTCCACTGTGTTATCCCCTTTTGTTGAACTTTTTTGTTCTGGGGTCCATGTTGTGGATGTGTTGGTTTTTTTCCTCGTTCTCTGTGTGTTCTGTTGTTTTGTTGTTTTTTTTTTTTCTTGTCTGTGGTGTTAGGCTTAGTATCTTGTTTTGTTTTTTCTTTCTGTTTTTTTTTTTCCCCCGTTGTAGTCTCTGCTAGGCTCTGGTTTCTGTAGTTTGCCTTTTTATTTCGGTGTGTTCGCGTCATTTGTCTATGACTTCTGAGTGTCAGGATTCCACATTTGTTTTTCTGTTTTTGCATTTTTTTGTTTGGTATTATACCTTTTAGTTGGTCCTTTTTTCTTTAGAGGGCGTTTTCTGTTTTTTTTTTATTGCTGTATTTTGTGTTGTTGTGTTAATGTGCCTGGTTTTTTTTTTCCTGTTTTTCCTTGTAGGTGGTTTAAGTTTCTTCTTTGTTTTTTCTATTTTCTGTCTTGTTGGGTTTGTCTTCTGCGTGGATTTGTCTTTTTTCTGGTTTTATTTATCTTGTTTTGTGTATGTTTCCTTTCATGGTTTTTTTGGGTTGAGTTGTGTTTGTGTTTTTGGTTTTTTCCGGATTTGCTGTTTTTTCTTGCTCGCTTGTTGCTCTAATTTCTGTTTTCAGCTCCTGTGTATATGTGTTGTTTTTTCCTCAGTACCTTAGTGGTGTGTGTTTTTCTTTGACTTTGTGGTTTTTTCTTTTGTGGGTGGTGTTGTATTGTTTCTCTTTGTGTTTTTGATTTTGCTTTGTCTGATGTTTCTTTCTGTTCCGTTGCTTTTTTTGGGTTTGATTGTTGGCTAGGTGCATGTTTTCTTTTGTGCTTTTTTTGTTTATGTTCTTTTGCTGCTTTTTCTTGGGGTTGTTTGGTTTTTCTTTTGCGTTTGTTGATGTTTCTTATTGTTGATTTGTTTTCTCTTTTTTTGTATTCATAGTTTGGGAAGCTTTTCTCTGATTCTGTTGCTTGTCTGTTTCCTCTGTTGCTAGTTTCTCTTGCTGCATATAAGTTCTTTTGGTGTTCGCTTCCGTTTGTCTGTTTTTGCTTTTGTTTCAATTGTTTTTGTTATTTTTATGCTGCTCTGTTTGTCTTTTGCTTGGTTTTGGCTGGTCTTGTTCTTGTTGTTTTCGCCGGTTTTGATAGTTTTGGTTGTTACCTTTGTGTGTGGTTTTGTGGCCCGCCCTGTTCTCCCACTGCTTTCAGTACATGCTTTATTTTCAGTTTGGTTTTTGTTTTTGTTGATAATTGTCATTCGGCTGTGTTTTGTGTGTTCTTACCTTGCAGTTGTGAGAGCCTTGTATATTGGTTTTGCTCGGTGGCTTTAGGGTGTTGTCGTTGTGTTTTGGGTGGGGTTGGTGGGTGGTTGCCCAGGTTGAGAGCTGGAGACGGTTTTGGTCAGCGTACCAACCATTAACATTCCGGTATTGCCCTGATCTACGCACTGTAGTCTGATTTTCCTAGGAAAGTTCTTGCATTCTGGGTGTAGCTTCAGATGACCTAAAATTGGCTTCATTTAAGGTGTTACCTAGCTGTGGAGCCTCAGCTATTTTATCCACCCTTGCTTGCTTCCCTTAACACCCTGAGAGGATGCTGTTTTTAACACCTAGTGGGGTTAACCTTTTGATGAAGAGGTCCTTACCTCCTGTGATTTGAACCTTCCAGGAAGTGAGATAGACTCTGATGTTTATTATATGGTAGGAGCCTACTCTGCCTCCAGGGTGCACCTAGATGCCTCTCTCTGTGTGCTTCTTGAATACTTACGTTAAGGCAGACAAACATACGTGAAAACTAAAATTCATGATACTGGAAGTTTGGAGAGGAGATGGAAATAACAGAAGTATTGACAGTTTGATGTAGAGCATTTACAAAGTTTCAGATATTGGCTGAGTGACTATTACCGAAGCCTGTGCCTTTGTTCTGTGTTTACTTGGTTCAGCCAGAAAGCACCACATTTCCCAACAGCAAACATTCAATATAACTTTGTGCATAATTCTCACTGTCTTAAGTAGGAGCTGGGTTGGATGCTTTTACACTTACAACTGGTGCCCATCCCAAACCTCAGTGGTGGTAGCTTTGAGATGGCAGTATTTCTGTTCCTCACGTCCTGTCTCTCTCTCTGCCCCCAACTTTGTTCTGTCTCCTTGCTCTTGGCCCCACAGTTAACACACCACAGACCAAATTAAACTGTGGCTTAATTTGCTGCCTGTTGAGCACTTCCAAGTCAGGCCCTTTGTTTAGGATGGTTTCTTTGCTGTTTCATAAGTACTGTTTCCTGTTACTTTATTTCTCAGTAAGAGGGCTGTTAACAGACTGTCAATACTTCTGTGTTATATCCAGCTCCTCTCCAAATTCCCAGTATCATGAATTTTTGTTTTCACATACATACCTCTGCCTTAAAGTAAGTATTCGTGGAGCACATTTAGAGAGGCATGTCTAAAGGCTGCTATGTGGCTTCTGGAAAATACACAACTCTCGTAGCCCTATTAAGCATTCTTTGTGTCTGTTCCTTTCATGTGTGCTTTACCTTTCATTTGAGGGACTGGATCACAGAATTTTAGTTAGGGTTCTGCAGAGTTAGGAACTGTTGTACCCATCACCCTTGATAGGTCAGGAAACTGAGCAATCAAAAGTGAAGCATCTTCTCTGTGTTACAAAGCCAATAGGCAGGACCCCCCCTCCCCCAATCTATGAAGCCACAGTCACTAGTACAATGGGTACCTCATGATGATGCATGTCACCAAGTACAGATGTCTTTGTCCCTGAATGAAATTCAAAGTCATGTGTCTTGTGTTTACAATCGAGGCACACGGTACAGGGCAACTTGAGAGTTAACATTGTAGAAGGTGTCAACTGAAGAATGAGAAAGTTCATGAATTTGGAAAGGAGAGCTTGATTTTTCATAAAGGATGGCCAGCTGCAGGGTGGCCATTGCTACGGTCTGGGGAATATAGCCTCCAGCCAGAAACTAGAAACAGATGCAGGGTGGGAAAAATAAAACAGGAATTTATGCTGAACAGAGTTTCCAAATATACAATAAGCTATAGGAAGAGTCATGAATATTTGTGAAAGGAGGTATGCATGTACAATTAACCTTTATGACTCTTCATGAGTTGCATGTACAAAAATATGGCATTAGCAGGATTCTGGGGTGGAGTTTTTGGTCCTCTTAGGTCAAAAGGTGAAGCCGAGGACACAACCCTCATTGTGCATCTTGATAAACTAGCCAGAACCACTCTGTGGTCCATTGTCTCCTAGGAAGGAATGCTGGTGGGTTGGTTTGTTGAAGACTTGGAGGGGCAGCATCAAGTGGTTGGTTCATGTCAAGAGTAGAAGCCAGGTGCAGTGGTTCACACCTGCAGTCTCAACACTGTGGGAGGATCCCTTGAGTTTGAGGAGTTCAAAACCAGCCAGGGCAACAGAGCAACACCTCATCTCTACCCAAAGCAACTGGTACAGTGGTACGTGGTTGTAATCCCAGCTACTTTGGAGGCTGAGGCAGGAGGACTGCTTGAGTCCAGAAGGTCAACGCTGCAGTGAGCTACGATTGCACCACTTGTACTTCATTCTCGGGGATAGAGTGAGACCCTCAAAAGTAGCAGCGGTGGAGCCAAGTCTTTCCCGAAGGGCCAGTTTCTGTTTAACCCTTAAGAAAGAAGGCTGGGTACTGTAGCTCATGCCCGTAACCTCAGCACTTTGGGAGGGTGAGGTGGGCAGTTTGCTTGATCCCAGGAGCTCAAGACCAGCTTGGGCAACACAAGGAAATCTCATCTCTACCAAAAAAAAAAATAAATAAATAAAAACTGCTGTGGTGGCATGTTGCCTGTAGTCCCAACTAGTCAGAAGGCTGAGGTGGAAGGATTAGTTGAGCCCAGGGTCAAGGCAGGTCAAAGCTGCAGTGAGCCAAGATCACACCACTGTACTCCAGACTGGGCAACACAGCAAGACCTTTTCTCAAAAAAAAAAAAAAAAAAAGCATAATGTCCGTTAGTGAAGCAGCAGGTGTAACAAACTGTCCTGCCTCCCTTCTAGTCATGTCTGGAACCTCAGCTTTTAAGATTTCTCCAGATCACTTGAGGTCAGGAGTTTAAGACCAGCCTGGCCAAAATGGTGAAACTGTCTCTACTAAAAATACAAAAATTAGCTGGGTCTGGTGGCAGGCTTCTGTAATCCCAGCTACTCGGGAGGCTGAGTCATGAGAATCGATTGAACCCAGGAGGCTGAGTTTGCAGTGAGTCAAGATCGAGTCACTGAATTCTAGCCTGGGCAATAGAGTGAGACTCAAAAAAATTCTCTGGGGTCTCCTTGGGCAAGAGAGGGCCCTTTCAGTCAGTGGAGGACATGGAATTTTATTTCTCAGAGGGTATTTACTGTGTGCAAATTACTGGGCATGGGACTGCAAAGATGAATAAGGCAAGCCCCTGGGAAGCAAGAAGCTTACCTGCCCTTTTGGATGATGGGAATTCATAATCACTTTATTTTTTAAATCCTTATAAATCTTCACAAAGGAAGGGATGTCATGGATGACAAAAGTAGCTACCTAACTTTCTGCAGAAAAAGCCTCCATCCCTGCTGGTCACCCACTCAGCACTCTCCGGGGCCTGCACCACCTGCCTTCCCTCCCGCCTGCACACCCCAGACAGGCTGATTATACATTGATGTGAAGAAGTCTGAAGCAAAAGGTATCTTCACCGTATTTATAGTTTCAGTTCTTCTTAATCACAGAGTGAAAATGTGAAGTAACCCCCCGATTAAAGACGTTCCAAATCTCAGGAATAACCAGGATTGAAATTTGACTTCTCCAAGGTAAAGCTGATTAGGCAAAAGTATGCTGGCACCTGGTAAACGGCGTCAGGGGTGCGGGGAGAGGGTTGTCAAAGGTAGAATTTCCACTTTCTTGAGGCCCTGGGGTCTGCCCTTGTTGGATGTCTCCTCTGGAACAGCACAGGCCACTCACCCCATGTGACTATTGAGCATTTAAAAACAGGGCGAGTCCACATTGAGATGTGCTTGTGAGTATAGAATACAACAGGATTGGCCGGGTGAAGTGGCTCACACCTGTAATCCCAGCACTTTGGGAGGCCAAGGTGTGTGGATCATCTGAGGTCAGGAGTTTGAGACCAGCCTGGCCAACAGGGCAAAACCCTGCCTCTACTTAAAATACAAAAATTAGCCGGGCATGGTAGCACATGCCTGTAATCCCAGCTACTTGGGAGGCTGAGGCAGGAGAACTATTTGAACTCAGGAGGCAGAGGTTTTGGTAAGCCAGGATCACAGCG